TTCTCTTATGTTCTTATGATTTTCCCAGTTCTGCCCACATCAGCACCAGTTCCCGTTCCCCAGTCCCAGCAGCAGAGATCAACTCATGCTCAACCAGGGACTTTTTGAGTTTTGCTGTAAATCGGCAATTGACACAGTGATATACTGCTATAACCTAGTGATATAATGCTATTTATTTAAAATATGTTTATGTTGCCTTTCCACCTGATCATGGTCCTCAAGTGCCATATTGATATGTCAATTACCAAATTTACAAAACTTGATTTCTATAGACAGTGGAATGGGGGAGGAGATCACCATGGGGAAAATGTGGGGAAACCGTCCATGTGGAAGCCCGATTGATACCCTAGCCACAGTGACATGGGGGCTTCTATAGTGTTGCTATATGGAAAAGGTCATTATTGCTTATCATTTTTTAAAAACTACTTTAAAAGTAATTCTCTGCAATTGCAGTTCCTTATCCATCTTCTACAGAAGCCAAAGCTACATATGATAGCAGCCATGAGGCCGCTAGAGAACTCAGTGGCCCACCATCTCTGCATCCTTTCCACTGCAACATTAAAAAGATAAAATAATGCTTGCTGTGACAATACCACGTTGTGAGTTTCCCCGTTGGCAACCCAAAAATTATACCATATTCAATCTCCCTCCTCCAATTTTAAGTTTCATTGAGGAGAAGTATTTTGTGTGCAAAGATATAGAACATAACACAAAACTGCACATGAGGTACAGAACTTTGAAGATTTTTACGGTTTTCCACTTCTGTCACTACTCCTTAATTGAAGTCTAGGGGCAAAATTCCCTATAGGTGGTAGAGGTGAAGAATTTTCCTTGGGGCTTTTAAACAGTGACATACTCTAGAGGCGAAAGTGCTGCTACTGATGTTAGATGTATAAAGAAATAACTGCTGCACCATTCTTCCTCTACAGAAAGCCAGCGGAGCAGTGATGGCTATAGAAAATGGTACTTTTAAAAGAATGCTTCCCCCCCTTCAAGTTCTGGAGTCTGAAATACTTTTGAACACACATTAATCTGCCTTATACTGAACCAGACCCTTGGTCCATCGAGGTCAGCATTGTCAGACTGGCAGTGGCTCTCCAGAACAATGGTCCCTCTAAGATCTGAAGTCTTGTGAGCAAAAATGTTACTTTGTGAGCTACTGGTATTAAAGATGTGAATGAGCGATTTGGCTACTGTATAAATTAGTTTGTTCTCGAGCTGCCCTTCCTGAGCTAAGACAAAAATGTGTGAGACGGAGGATAAAAAACTGTGAGCTAGCTCACACTAACTCAGCTTAGAGGGAACACTGCTCCAGGATCTCAGGCAGGATCATTTGTTACCCGATCCTTTCAACAGGAGATGTTGGGGATTGAACCTGAGACCTTCTGCATGCTAAGCAGATGCTCAACCATTAACATATGTCTCCTCTCCTTAAAGTGAGGTAATTTTAGGTTTACAATTCTAAATGTTTCAAAGGAAATCAAGGGAGAAGTGGAATCAAGAAAATACTTGTAACCAAGAGTTTAGACTGTCGGCAGAGCTGGTTTCAAACTTTTGACTACAGAGATATTTCAGTCATTAAACTGCCAGTACACAAATTCACACACACAATTCATGTGGAAGCTGTTCTTGATGGGCTTACCTTGAAACCCTCTGTTGTTTAGCCTTTCTATAAGGTCAGATGTCTATTGGTTTTTGTTCCAGCAGCAGAGGGCTCTCTGTTAATAATGAATCCTGAATAATTCAAGAGATATTTCCAACTGAGTGCTACATAAGAAGTAAAGTTCCTTTGTCCAAGTTTTCTGTTTGTGGTGTAAGATGTGCTTGGGCAAAAAGAGAAGCCACTCTTTGCCTCTCAAGCAAACCATGAATCCATTGTTTGAAGATGGACTTTGATTTCTATAACTCTGTTAATAAGGCAAGTATATATTTTCTTATCTGGTTTTTGACCATTCGGAACAAAAAAAATGTTTTAGCCAATTTTTGAGATAACATCTTCAATTAATACTTAAATTCTATGCAATCTCTGATTTCCTAGCAAAACCACATTCTTCTGTTTTTCATTCATGAAAAGCAAAACATTGCTCTTCTTATCAAATGCTGCTTTTATGGCTCTGTTTGTATACGGAGAGTATTGGGTCTTATGCGTTACTCTGAAAAGCATTCATGCTACCAGGATCTCCTTGGAGGAAGGGCAGAATAAAAATGCACCAAATAATTATTTGTGTATCGAAGGGCAGCCATGAAGGGAGGGGGACAGTTCAGATCACTATAATATACTGGGGGAAAGTCTTTAGGTCCTGTATCCCTCAGTTGTGACCCCAGTCTTAAACAGAGCCTTGCAAAGCTGCTTTCCAAAAATCAGAAAAACAACAACAACTGGAGATTGGCTCATCATCACATCTAGCCTGTCTCTAAATTTACTGAAGTCAATGGAGTGAAGTGCATTTCATTTTTAAAAATTCTCTAAATCCAAAGTGTTACTAACTTCCGTTACTCAACAATGAATAGAAAACTGAACAAAACAGCAACAACTATCAAATGATTTTTTAAAAGGAAGCTTATTAGAACTCTATTTTAAATGTGGGAAGCCCTTTTCCTGACCCAATTGTTGGTACTGATAACCTGAAAGACTAAACTAGATGGGGAACTTCATGAAGTTAGGTGCTCAGCACTCCTCCCTGCCCCATTTTGCCATTAGGGAGGCATAGACATAATTCTGCTTTAAGAGCTACCATCCTGCGGGGCATGGTGAGTAGAATTTGGTTTAGTCCTCTGTCACTCTCCCTGTCACTTTCCCTTCCTTACCAATTACTGGAATTTTGACTTTAAAACAAGAGTATAGGGGCACATGTGTGTGTATGTGTGTATTAGGTGCCATCAAGTTGCTTCTGATCTATGGCAATTCTATGAAATAATGTCCTCCAAAATGTCCTATCATTACTAGCCTTGCTCAGGCCTTCCAAACTGAGGGCCATGGCTTTCTTTAGAGTCAATCCATCTCATATTGGGTCTTCCTCTTTTCCTGCTGCCTTCACCTTTTCCTAGCATTATTTCCCCCCAGTCACTCTTGTTTTCTCATACAATAGCCTCAGTTTAGTCATTTTAACTTCTAGGGAGAATTTAGGCTTGATCTGTTCTATAGCTCATTTATTTGTCTTTTTGGCTGTCCAAAATATCCAAAAAGCTCTTCCCCAACACCATGCATTCCAAAATCTGTGAGCTGAAAATATACACAAAAATAGCTGTCTTGAGTGTTACCATAATCATTCAGAATAGTAACACACATCACAAATTCGTGCAAATTATGAAACCTTCTCCCCCCAAATGAGAAGGGAACACTCACTGGAGAAGACCCTGATGCTGGGAAAGATTGAAGGTCAAAGAAGACGGGGACGGCAAAGGATGAGATGGTTAGACAGTGTCATAGATGCAACGAACATGAAGTTGAGCAAACTTCAGAGGATGGCGGAAGACAAGAAGGCCTGGTGTGATCTGGTCCATGGGGTCGTAAAGAGTCGGACTCGACTGTGCGACTGAACAACAAACTCGCCCCCAAATCTGTGGTTTTCTTTTATGTGTGTGTTTCAGTGCTGCTAGACTGCTACAATGGGTGCTTGTGTTTTTCTTTGATTCTACTGATTTCCTGGGCAATGTATCTCATAGCAATTTATTAATCACATTCATTAACACAGAGACACCCTTTAAAATATTTTAATTTTTTTTAAAAATTGAATTATCAATTTTTTGAACTAGTAGCAAAAGGGATGAGAAGGGGGAAGGTTCTCTGCAAAGGAAGCCTTTATTTGTGAAATGGAACAAACAACTGACCACAGCAAGCAGGGATGGCAAACTCAGTTTTCAATGGAAAGATACAATTTTTTGTCACTGTAAGTCACTGTGTCAGTCAGTCACTGTAAGATTAGGAAAATGAAACAAATGCAAACAGGGATTTTCTTTAATAATGACACCACTTAGAGAGAAAAACACACACATGCTGAAAGGCACCTAATTCGGGGTCTGTAAAATTGAAGTCCTTGGTGCGATTCACCCAAAACTTGGAGGGTGTTTACATTAGAGGGAGGGCTATGTTCTGCACAACTTTGGTATCATTATCTACCCTAGACCCTCAAATAAATTCCCCCATTGAAAATAATGGTTTCAAGAGTAGAGAGAAACGTTCTTGCATCAAAAGTGCTTGATCCAATTTGCCTGAAATCTGGGGGGTGTTTAGGTCATAGGGTGGACTATGTGTGGCATTATCTTTTTAAAAAGCTTCCTCAGACCCTCAAATTGGTTCCACAATGAAAATAATTGGTCCCAAACATTGGAACCTGGGAAAAAACACAGATTTGAAATCCCAAATGGTAATGGATGACCCCAAAACCAGAAATCACAGTGAATGTTTTTCCCCAAACCTCATATCTGAAAATATAATGAAATTTTTCTCAGGTCACACCCTTACAAGAGGTCTGTGGATGGAAGTGAAATTATGGTGTATTCACATAACAAAACATTGTTGTAAGCATGCTTTAGTTCCACATGTTCATTTTTAGCTTTTTTTCCAGCTTTTAATGCCTTTGATTCCCAGCACTTAATGTTTTATATTATCTCCTTATGATTTAGGTGAAATTTGGACAAATGAAGAGGACATGGGAGAAGCAAATACAACATCCTGGACAGAGTTTGTTCTTGTCGGACTTCAACAACAAAAGTCACCCATGTTGTTTCTTGGTGTGATTCTCTTCATGTTCTTCATTGCTCTGTTTGGAAACAGCCTCCTTCTCTTTTTAATTAAAAAGGACTCTGGTCTGCAGAGCCCAATGTATTTTTTCCTCAGCCAGTTATCTCTCATGGACCTCTGTCAGGTTCTCTCAGTTGTTCCTAAAATGACTGTGAATTTTGCAATGCAGAAGTACACAATTTCACTCTATGCATGTGTCATCCAGATTTTTGTCACACTGGCCATGGGAGGAGCAGAATGCCTCATCCTGGCTACTATGTCATATGACAGGTACGTGGCCATCTGCAGGCCTTTGTTATATCCAGTCCTCATGAGGAGAAAAATCTGCTACATCTTGTCAGTAGGAGTCTGGTTTTGGTCTTCTGTACAGGCCTTGACATGTTCCCTTTATGTCCTACCTCTGCCATACTGCAAGTCCAATGTGATCTACCATAACCTTTGTGAATATCCAGCCCTTGTACAGTTGTCTTGCTCGGACAATTCTGCCTTTGTAAAAGTAATATATCTCGGTAGTTTCTTGGTGTTTCTCATCCCCATCTCAGTCATCCTTGCTTCCTACATAGCCATTTTCCTGCAAGTCCTAAGAGTGCATTCACCTGAAAGAAGCCACAAGGCCTTTGGAACATGCTTGTCCCATTTGTGTGTGGTGGGACTATTTTATGGAGCAGCCATTTTAACCTACATGACACCTGTATCCTCCTATTCAGCACAAAAGGCCATGATAAATTCAGTGTTCACTACCATCGTTCCTCCCATGATGAACCCTTTCATATACAGCCTGAGGAACAGGGATGTGTTAGCAGCACTAAGAAAACTTTTTTCAAATGCCTGCTTAAGGAAATGATTTGAAAGAAAAACAAATGAAAATGTGTACTCTCTTGGAAGCCAATAGTGCTGCATCAACATAAATGGAGCTCAAAGTAACACATGATAACCAAAAGTAAGATGGAGCATACTTTTATAATGCTATTTGTCACCAAGAAGGAAAGTGTATTAACAGGTTGCATTATGTGACTTGTTGTTCAGCTAATATTTTTTAAAATATAGGGTTGGATCCTGTGCATCTGTTCTACTAATGGCAGCACTTACCCCTGGTGTAAGGTATAAGTTTGCTGTTGCAAAACGTTTGTCCTCCAGGGCATAAGCTTTGCAGAAGACCCTCTTTCATAGCTCCTTGCGCGATAGAAAAGTGCCACTGGTAGTAGAGCATATCTGTGAGATACAACCCATTATCGTTACATGGCCTTAATCCTGCTGGTATTTCTTAGCTGCACTCATCAACAAAGTTACTAACTGACTTCTCATAACTTCTATAAGGGTGAGTGGGAGAATGTATGTAAGTCCTTTGATACCTCTGAAATGCTAAATAAATTTTAAAGGTTATCATTTCCGTCTTCCAGTATCATTTATTTTCACAATAACCACATTCTATTGACTTACTGCTAAATTTTGGTGTTTGTGGTTAGTTTGTGGTTAGTTTGGTGTAGTGGTTAAGTGCGTGGACTCTAATCTGGGAGAACCGGGTTTGATTCCCCACTCCTCCACTTGCACCTGCTGATGTGACCTTGGGTCAGTCACAAGCTCTGGCACAGCTGTCCTTGAAAAAGAGCAGTTTGTGTCAGAGTTCTCTCAGCCCCACCCACCTCACAGGGTGTCTGTTGTGGGGAGGGGAAGGGAAAGGGGTTTGTAAGCTGCTCTGAGACTCCAAGTGAAGGGCGGGGTATAAATCCAATCTCTTCTTCTTCTTCTTCTTAGCTGATTTCTAAACTGGATGCTAGTAAGGATGTTGCATTGGGCTTCTTTGGCAGGAAGACTATTTAGATGGAGCTGGCTGTTTGGTTTGCACAAATCTTCAACTGGTTAGAGAAGAGGTGTAAAATGTTTTAAATGAATAAATAAAATGTATAAAATACTAAACAATTGAAAATAAAACCAACAAAGCATACAACAAAGCATCCTTAATCTAAAACTAGAAAAGACTAGGAAAATCAGATTTTAAAAAGTCTTAAATATCACTGAAAGCATAAGAGAAAAAGATGGCCCCTGACTGGTACCCCAATGTTAGGGGAATCAAAATAATGTACACATTGTAAGACCTTAAGAAAATGTTATCTACCTTATGTCAGAATCTATAGATATCAAATAAGGAAACAGGTGACAAGCTTACTACATGTTAACTGTAATGGCAAAATGAACTCACCTCGGGAGTGATGTCCAGAGTTTGAGTCCTAGCACAGAAATGGGTTGCTACCTGGCAATGTACTTCAATTAGAGGGAGCATGGAGTGTTAATGCTTGTTAATCTGCCTGATAACTGATGGAAAGGTTTGTACGCTGGAAGGTGGTCCTTAATCTATCTGGTCTGTAAAGACCCTTTGGATCCTTACTGATTGCTCTGTGGGTGCCTTGAAAGACTACCATCTGTTATTTTGATTTTTAAGTGTTCCTGCTGGTTGTTGTAATTCAGTTGTTTTAAACTGGTTTTATTGCTGCTACCTGACATGAGTCCTAGATATCTGTGAGAAAAGTGGACTCACAAAGGTTTTAATTATTTAATTAAATGCAGGGGAAAGGCTTATTTGTTTATTTGGGAACATGTATAGGCTGCATCACCAGAGATATGCTTGAAGTGGCTCATAAAATAAAAGCAACTCAACAATAAAACAATAAAATCATCATTAAAAAGATCATCAGTAAAATGAGAACAAATTTGCTGTGGCATGAAAGCAACATAGAGCAACTTAAGAACAGCATTCTGAAACATAAAACAGTAATAAAACAGTTCAGAAGCTCGAAGGGCCTGGCTCGGCACAGCCCGCAATTTGCGGTGCTGGGTGGGGATAGGGAGGTGGCCGGATGCTGGGTGGGGACAGAGCAGGTGTGTGGCAGGGAAAGCAGGTCCTCCCTCCCTTCCCCTGGGCCAATAGCAGAGCTCTGGAATGGTCAGGGGGAGGGGAGGATTTAAAGAGGGAAGACGGCCACTCGCCTCCTCTGCCCGGCCTTTGTCCTGCAGCCAAGCAGCTTGCCCACCCATTCCATTACTGGATATGGGGACCACCTTAAGGGGTCTTGGCATGAGGGCTGCCGGGAGCAAGCGTGCTCAGGAACTACCAGCGTTTTCCCTCATGGCCAGATGGCAGGAGAGATCACAAAGGGGCAGTCGTCCATGTGATCCCCAACAACCTGCCATTCCACGATCTTCACCCATGCCATCTGGCTGGGTGACAGGGTTCATCAGCTGGCGGTGGGTCAGCTGATGCATCGGATCCGGTGGACCCATGCTGTGCCAATGCTTCTTACAGCTGTAATCAATAAAGTTGTGGCCAATTTATTCCACTTATTTCCAAATCTGTTGTGAGTGTGGTGGTTTTTGATGAGATTGTGGGCATCTGATCAAACCTCCCCATCCCACTTAAGAACTAGAGCTGCAAGCTCTTTCAGCAGGGTACATAAAACAGGGAGTTCCAAAGGCAAGGTGCCTCCATTCTAGTCAGCACCCACTGTACCTACTTGTGATGGGGATATACCAGGGTAGGGTTGTACTAGGGTTGCGTAGTCCTGGTTGGGAAATTCCTAGAGATTTGGGGGTGGAGCCTGGGGAAGGTGGGATTTGAGGAGGGGAGGGACCTCAGCAGGGTATAATGCCATAGAGTCCACCCTCTGAAGCAGCCATTTTCTTTAGAGGAACTGATCTGTGTGGCCTGGAGACAGCCCCGTAGCCAGAAATTTTGTGTTGGCAGGGTGTGGGGAAATTTTGTGGGGCAGCAGCAGGAGGGATGGGGAGGAGGGAGAGGGAGGGAGAGGAGCAGCCACGCACCTTCCCTTATCTCCAAGCAGTGATTGCAGATCATTTACACTTTCCCCTCCCCCCAGATACCATTTACAACTGTAGGAAAGCCAGTTTCATAGGGAGTAATAGCAGTGTATGTTGACGGGCTACAGTGAGGAAGGGGGAAAGACACTCTCTTCTCCCTCTTCCCTCAGTGGAACTATTCCACTGAAGAAGAGACAGATGGGCTGATAAAGTAGGAAGCATGATTTCACTCCCTCACCTCCTCATTGCAGCCTGTGAAATTATATTGAAACTACTCCACACTAGTCTTGTTGTGACCACTGGAATCAACTTTCACTGGGTCGGAAATGATTGCTGTGGGAGAGGAAGTGTGGAAGATCCATGAACATCAGTGCTTTCTGTTGATGGATTATCCAACCCAGTGAACATTACGCAAGATACCCATTATAAGATGTCTCCAAGCAACTCACTAACCTAGTTTAAGAATGTTTCCCTCACAATTAGCAAGTGTTACCAAAAACAGTGCAACACAAGGCACATGGGAAATGCCATGGACTGCAGCAGAGCTTGTTTTTGCACTGTAGATTTTCCTTGGGGATTTGAAACCTCCCACCCTCCTTTATATATTATTCAGCTTCTTAATTCTGAACAAGGAAAGGAAAAAAACACCATCTCTTCCTTGAGGATGCTCCTTCTCTTGAAGTCCTATTGTTAAATTTAGATGGTATTAACAGTATAGTTCAGTGTGTCCTTTTCCTCTGTCACTGAGAGCAGAATGCATTCCAGTATTACACATTTCACTATGATTAGGGGCAAAAAAACAGTACTGCCCTTCCCCTTTCTATGAAATGGGTGTTTGATAGACATGTGTGGGCTGCGACTAAAACATGCCTCTACTGTGTGTTCCAAAACTTCCTTTCTAGAACTATGGGATTTCTTCTGGAGCGATGAATGCAAATTTCTCTTAGAAAGGTATGTTACTGTCTTTTAAAATTTCTCTCAAGCTCTTAGTTTACTCCCTCCAAAGTTTAAACACAAGTATCTTATGCAAACCCACTTCAAGCCATTCATTGAAGAACCACTGCATAGACTTGCTGTTTGAAACGTTTTGGTATAAGCATCACCTTATCAGATACAATCATTTTACATCACTCTAGTTTCTTTTTATTTTACAGAAGGTTGATCTGGGAGAATTTGCTTGAAAACATTTCTCCAAATTCATTGCAGCCTAATAACATATTCTGACAATGGAGGTCCATCTGCTTTAGAGTTACGCTGGTCTAACCATGTCCACTGGTTCAGGGTATTGACGTTTTATCTGAACTATTGAATGAGAGACTTTGTGCTTTTACCCCACAGAGAGATGCTGGAATATACCATATGGATCCCTTTCTCTAGTGAGCAATTAATTAATTAACAAGTTCGTGAGGAACCATCAGAGGGGAGAGTTGGAAGGGCATTCTTGTATCCAACCCTCCATTTCTCTGTAAAACTAGTGAGAGTTTTGTGTATAACATAATGTGTATAACATAGTTGGAAGGGCATTCTTGTATCCAACCCTCTATTTCTCTGTAAAACTAGTGAGAGTTTGGTGTAGTGGTTAAGTGTGCTGACTCTAATCTGGGAGAACCGGGTTTGATTCCCCACTCCTCCACTTGCACCTGCTGATGTGACCTTGGGTCAGTCACAAGCTCTGGCACAGCTGTCCTTGAAAAAGAGCAGTTTGTGTCAGAGTTCTCTCAGCCCCACCCACCTCACAGGGTGTCTGTTGTGGGGAGGGGAAGGGAAAGGAGTTTGTAAGCAGCTCTGAGACTCCAAGTGAAGGGCGGGGTATAAATCCAATCTCTCTCTTCTTCTTCTTAAAACCCAAAATCTCATTAGAGAACATTTTTCTCAGTTCTGAAACACTGGAGTGTCTTTTCTTTGAGCTCCTGCACAGCTGGCAGAAGAATCATTATATCCTCTGGGGGGTTTCTTCGTATGGGCAGCTTAGTTGTAGAATTCCTTGCCCAGGGAACCTCACATTCTCTCTCTCTGCTCTGTTAGAAGGTTAGCAAACCCTATTCCCTTTCTATACTAATTTGCCATCTTGGAACCCTATCAGACAGTCTGTCTGTCTGTCTGTCTGTCTGTCTTAGAAACAACGGTCACATTGAAACCAATGGAGAATTTATGTGTGTGAGTGAGTGAGTGAATGAGTGAGTGAGTGAGTGAGTGAGTGAGTGAATGAGTGAGTGTGTAGAAAATGTCATTTGTTCTGAAGATGAAGACGCTCTCTGGGAGCCATCCCTTGACAAGACAGGGGATACCAAGAAGTATGTACATGAAAATGGCATAGAAATGTTTGTTTTAGGATTGTTGTTCATTATATTTTGTAATTTCCTTGTCAACCACTGTACTATGAATTGACTAGTCAAGCTGAGAAATACACCCCATTCATTCTAGACCATTCCTAATTATTGTCGTATTTGGTTCTAATTCAGTTAACTATTTCACATTAGGAAGCTGATTTTAATGGGAAAAGAGATATGTGGGTCTTCCCAAGTCCTCAGTCTGGATCTACCGACTGTTGCCATAAAACATACAACTGGTCCACATAACATTATCAGCTGCAATCCCCGGTTGTGCTGTGTGTGTGTTCCTGCACCAGGGTCAGTACAGACAAATAACCATCCCCAGGCTTAAGCTATCTTTAAGCCCAAACAGTTGTGTGATTTCTGCTAGCTGGAGCAGTTTCAACAGCTTATGCCCAGAAGATTTAGTGCTTGGTTTTGAGAAGAGTTCAAGGTTGGACCCATTCTTTTAAACCTTATCCATGAATTGCTATAAAGCAGAAAAGTAAAGTGGGCGATTTCTGGGGTTGCCAGCTCTGGGTTGGGAAATTCTTGGATTTATTGGGGTGGAGTCAGAGTAAGGCAGGGTTTAGGGATGGGAGGGATGTCAGGGTATACTGTGATTCAGTCAGCCATTTAAAACAGTTGTAATTACAGGAGGTCTCCAGATCTCACTTGGAGGCTGGCAACCCTAGCGATTTCTAGTAAAGGGAAGGAGAACATGAGTGGAACTATTCAATAGTTTATTCAGCCACTACCGTTCCTCCTCCTACTCTTCTGCTCCAGTTGCTAACCAGTGAACTCGGCATGTAATTTCAAAGACAAGAATATCGGACGGGGAAACCTGAATCAGTTCCACTCTCTTTGCATTACCCGAGAGCAATTGCTCTTTTTGGTCGAATTCTTAGCCTAATCTTTGCTACAGGGTTATTATGAGGATACAATGACCTGCGCCTTGTCTGCAACTCTGAGGGGAAACTAGACGTGATGGTTCCCAAGTGTTGGACTGGTGGATGCCACTGCCATTTTAAAGTCATTTAGAAATGCCACAAGGGTTCGATCCTGATTAGGTTCACAATGCAAAGGGCTGAGGTGCTCCCCCCCCAACCTTTTCAAGTGCAAAATAGCCTCAGGAATGCATGTCTGTGGCCATTTTGGCACTTGAAAAGGCCTGCGGAAAGGAACCAGAGGGCCCCAGCACACCTTTGTTATGCCCTCACAACATTTTAAACTCTCTGTAAAATGGAGGCAGCATCTACAAGTTGGACCGTCACCTTTGTATGCTGTTATGTTTGTTTTTGCCCCCTGAGTTCCTTGGAAGAAAGGGTGTGATAAAAATGAAATGCTTAAGGAGGGATGGAGGGGGGGAAAGTATACAATTAATGTACATCTCTCTTCAAATTATTTCATTCTCCTTTCAGATTGAAGAATGAAGGCGAAAATGGAGCAATGAATTCCACATCCTGGACTGAGTTTGTTCTCCTGGGGTTTCTGAGCCAAACAAAGATAGCCACCTATGCTTTTGCTGCAATCTTCCTTATGTTTGTTATTGCTTTAGTGGGAAATGGTCTCCTCCTGCTGGTAATTCAGCTAGACTCAGCTCTTCAGACCCCAATGTACTTTTTCCTCAGCCAGCTGTCCTTCATGGATATGTGCCAAGTCCTCGTTATTGTCCCTCAAACAACAGTAGGCTTTGTAACACAGAAAAAAACTATCACACTTTTTCAATGTGCTGCTCAGGTATTTCTCATGCTCAACATAGGAGGAGCAGAATGTCTCCTTCTAGCTATCATGTCCTATGATCGATATGTGGCCATCTGCAGGCCCCTGCAATATCCTGTTCTCATGAGGAAGACCATCTGCTTATTCATGTCAGCAGGTGCCTGGGTTACAACTTTTCTGTATGCCTTGATAAGAGCCATTTATTTACTACTTCTGTCCTACTGTGGGACAAACACGATGAACCATTTCATGTGTGAATTTCCCATTGTGGTCAAGTTGTCGTGTTCAGATACATCCTTCTTTGAAAAGGTGTCCCTATTCTTTGGTGGCAATTTATTCCTTCTTTTTCCCTTTTCAGTCATTGTGGCCTCCTATATATCCATCCTTTTGCAGATCATGAAGGTACAGCGTTTGGGTGAAAGAAGCAACAAAGCTCTTGTTACCTGCTTGCCCCACCTGTGTGTGGTAACCATCTTCTATGGATCAGCCATATTGAGACACATAAAACCGCTATCCTCTTACCCAGGAGAACAAGTGCAGATTTTTTCTGCATTGTGTACGATTGCCACATCCACAGTGAATCCTTTCATATATAGCCTGAGGAACCGGGATGTGCTATCGGCATTAGGGAAGCTGTTTAAGAAACTGAAGGTACCAAAATGATTTCAGGGAAAACTTAGTATATGCTACTTATGTTATCTATTGCTGCGGTCAAACTGCAGGCTTGGCGCAGTTTGGGCATACCTCTAATCTCACTGGTTTGAAATTGTTCTGGGAAGGTCCGACCAGACAGCACTCCCTGAGGCGTTTTCCCCACACTCGTCCAGTGCTGGAGCATCCACATTACTGTAGTGCTTCAACCATGGAGCGCACTGTCCAGTCCTTTTTTAAAAAATACAGGCAGGCACCTGTGCATATGCTACTTGAAAATTTATTTATTTATTTTATTTCTTCATTCAATTTATATCCCGCTCGAACCCCGAAGGGTCTCTGAGTGGCTTACACACAACCATTGGTTCCTAACTAAGGCCACAATTATACGGAGGGGTGACTTCCTACCAGCACCCAGCAGCAGGGCTTGTTGTTGGAGTCTGGCTTCTTCCAGCGGCCTCGGCCTCGGAAAATAAAAGAAAAAGCAGAAACAGACCTGATGGTTCAGACTTCTCATCCAGGTTCAGTCCACAACAGGGGAGTTCAGATGTCTGGAAAAGCAGAGTGGAAGCACTGGCATTTGTAAAGACTGGACTTTCCCTGGTGTCTGTTTACTCTGCTTTGATGGCAGGCCAGAACCAGGTGCCAGTGACTGCGGCACAGGAGGCTGATGTTGTTGTCTGATCATGCTCTTTAAATCTGCAGAGGTGCTGCAACTATATTGGCGTGAACTGCTCATGTGACCGCAACTTTAGTCTTCACCTCTTTTTGAAAATGGGTCATCTTAATACTCTAGTCAATGCCTTTACAGCCTGATTTTGTAAGATTTAAAGATGACCTGGATATTTGAAATAGTGCAAAATGCAACCTCAGGAAGACCTTTTCTATTTTTTTTCCTGCTGCTTGCTAATTCTTCTTTGATGGTTATTTTCTAGGTGATAGCTGTTGATGTCTTCCACCAGTAGATCTTTTTCAGTGTGTTGGTTGGTTTGGTATTGTAATCACTTTAAATAAATATTCATCTTATGTAAGCTTTTAATGCATTCCATATCATTGATCAGCTAACTTTAGAAGTAACATTATGCAGAAAAATTCATCAGTATTTAAATGTATTCCTGAACATCTCTCTGAAGAAGCCAAAATCAATTTGGAGCAGCTTTTTGGATTTTTCTAAAGTAGGCATTATACCTTCTGGTTTCTTTTATTCACTCCTGTTGATAGCAGACCAAATCTGATATCCATTATTATTTCTGCTTTTTAACTATCCTCGATGGTTCATATCGTGCCAAAAAAGATCACATTCAGTCACTAAAACTAAATCTCTCACCCAATATAGTCAATGTACCAGTCCATGTATCTACAAAACAGTTATATATGAGCCTATTGCAACATATAACATTCAGCTGTTTCTTATAATGGGCAATAAATGACTATTAAAAAGCTATAAAATACAGAATATGCCATCAACGTTCACTTAGCAACTCAATCCAGAAAAGATTTTTATACAGACTTCTTGGTGTGTAAATTCATTGAATTCAGTCCATCCTCAACTGCATCATTCCTAATCCTTATGGGCAGATCCGCCTTTCTCAGTATATGGAAGCCGCTGTTGTTAGTCCAACTTAATTACTGATTCTTCTATCCTTACAGACTTTGTCAAGGATGTATTTAGTGGTTACTCATGAGTCATTTATTGCAGTTTATTAGAAGCAGTTGACTTTGTCTGTAGTTATTTGATTTATGTTCCTTCTTTAAAATATTTTATTAGAGTTTTTTAAACAGATAAAAATAAGAAAAACAAAAACAAAACAAAAATAGAGCTAATTCCTACTAAAAAAGGGAATAACCCCCAACAATTGTTCAAATAGAAGGAATAATATCTGATTTTCTTCGTTAACGGAACCCCCACATTTATTCATTACAACCTTAGTCCAAAATTAGACCAAGGGAAATTTATCACCTTTCTGTTTACAGTTATTAACTTTGCCTTTTAATCTTCAAAACCATAAGTCATCAGTGACCAATTCTTCTGCCAACTACCAGCCTTGTATTGAATACACACCTTAACATGGTGAGGGATAACAGAGCACATAGTTATCCATAAGGGAATATTCCTATACTAAACTAAAATTAAGATGGGAGCTCCAGCAAAATTCCATTCAGTCTGAAGGCAGGCCCTCCCCAGCAGTACTGAAGTAAAGGAGCCTAAATAAGTCCAACATTCCACTCTGCCTAAAGGCACTGCCTGGCATAATAAAAGGGAAGCAGCCTGAATAGGCTACATGGGAGTTAAGTGAATTAGTCCCACTAAAAATGCAGGCAATGTCTCAGTGAACATAAGAAGAGCCTTGCTGGATCAGACCAGTGGTCCATCTAGTCCAGCATCCTGTCTTACATAGTGGCCAATCAGTTACTCCAGAGGGCCAACAACAGGGCACAGAGGCTGAGGCCTTCTCCTGATGTTGCTTCCTGGCTCTGGGATTCAGAGGTTTAATGCCTCTGAATGTGGAGGTTCCCATCAGCCACCACAGCTAGTAGTCACTGATAGTCTTATCCCCCATGAATCTGTCTAATCCCCTTTTAAAGCTCTCCCAGAAAACCTGGGATCGATGGGTCAAACCAGGGGTCTTGTTGTAGAAAAAGAGCTGCCGGAGCTCATTAGCATAACTCATTAGCATAACTTATTTGCATATGCCACGCCCCCTGACATCACCGGAAGTGACAGAAGGCCACACCCCCTGACATCACCGGAAGTGTGTCAGAAGGCCCGGCTACTTACCCTCCTGCTTCATCCTCATTCCCAAACGGAATGAGGATCAAAGCAGAGGGCGGGGTAAAGAAGGGGGCGGGGCTTCACCACGTGACCGCCCCGCCCCCTAGAGGTTCTCTTCCGGAGCTCCGTACCTGAGAGCTCCCCCCCGACTAGAGCCCTGGGTCAAACTATCAGGCAACAGTGAAGGTGGAATTCTCCCCAGCCTTGGAACACCAATAGGAATCCTAAAAAACCTGAACAGGAACTGCTGGCTGCCAATTAGCGAGCTCCCATTTGGCTGTATGGGATCTGAAAACTATATAAGCATGGGCACAGCCCCACCTTCCTTTGTTGGAGTTTTGCAGCAAGTTGGTGAGGATCAGTGAATTGCAATTGTGATTATTACCACATGGCTTTGCTGGGCAGGAGATTGCTCTCAGCTCCATGTGTGCCTGAAAAGTACGCAGACAGACGAGTGGTTTCAGCTAACGTACTTTTATTAGTGATAAACAAGACAACTTTAGCCGGCTCGCAGGCCGGCTTATATTCCCCGTGAAACCACCACCCTGAACACACCCACACACCCACATCCCAATAGGTTATTTACAGTGGCCGAGAGTTCCATAGGCTCTCGGCCGGGAACCTAACCCTCGGATAAGCGCGGGCTAGGATCCACTTAGTCCATTGTTTCCCTGAGAGAAGCTCGATGTTTGTGCTTGACCGCGTGGAGCCAAAACCGGCCACGCAGTCGGAACTGGATACATTACACCCCTCCCCCCTTGGTCTGCAACACATCCACACATCCTTTAAGTGTGCTGGTGTCTTCCTGGTGCGGCTCGCAGGCCGGCTTATATTCCCCATGAAACCACCACCCTGAACACCCCCCCACCCCAATAGGTTATTTACAGTGGCCGAGAGTTCCATAGGCTCTTGGCTGGGAACCTAGCCCTCGGATAGGCGCGGGCTAGGATCCACTTAGTCCATTGTTTCCCTGAGTGAAACTCTATGTTTGCGCTTGACCGCGTGGAGCCCAAGGCGGACACGTGGTCAGAACCGGATACATTACAGTGCCACAGCACCCAGCCTTTCTGCTCACATTGAGAGGTGGAGCTTTGCTTGTGGGTTCCTCTGAAGAGGACCTGCATTTCTCCCCCCCCCCTTCTTTTGTTGATCAACTCTCTGGGATGAAGTGTGCTGTGTTTGCTGCACTAGAGCTCTGTGTGCCACATAGGGTTGCCATTCCCCAGTTCCAGGTAGGGGATACCCTAGTTTTGGGGCCTTCTGCCCACTGCTATCCAGCTGGCCGGCAGGGGAAACCCTACCCGCAAACAGTGACGTCGCTGCGCGACATCCCCAACACCCAGAAGTGACATCATCATGTCAGGGATGCTGGAGGCAACACTTTGGTTATTGGGCAAAATTCTATGGTTTGATGCCAGTTTTACCATAGAGTTTTGCCCATAAACCAGAGAGTCGCCCATGATGTCACTGGCGTGATGATGTTACTTCCGGGTGACAGTGCATGATACAATGTCACCACCCGCTCCCAGAATGCCCCCCCAAACTCCCCCCACTGGTGTGACAATATGACCTGGCATCCCTAGTGCCACACCCCGCCTAGGGCTTTGTTTTTCTTCTACTGTGTTCAGTTTCTGTTCTACGCTAAGTTGTGACTCTCTCTCTGCTGGGGGCTTTGGGTGTTTGTGGATTGTCTCTGATTCCACACATCCTCTCTGCTCATGCTGAGCAGTGGGATATAGATGGTGGGCGCATCACCTGAAGGCTTGCATTCACACACCCCACTCACCTCACCCGTCTTTTGGGATCTTCTGGCTCTCTCTCTGCAATGGGCTTTGGGTGTCTGAGGGTTCAGCCCCATGAGGGTGAGAGCAAGTAGAAGGGGTGGTTTTCTGGGGGGAGGAAGCCCTCATCCTCCCATGTACCAGATGGCCCTGTTCCTCAGCACCAAATGGAGGCATCTTCTCAGGAGGATGTCCCTATCCCCAGCACGTCATCAGCAGGGGTCTTGAAGACTCCTTCCTCTGCTCTGTCCATGGGGCTCTCATAGGACACTAAACAGTCCAGACAGCAGCAGTTAACAACACAATTTTGAAGAGCGGACTCCTACGGCGGTGATTTGGGGTGTATGTGTATGTGTGTGAAGTATCTGCCCCTTCCACAACTCCCTGCTGCTCCTGATGCTGTCAGTGCCTCCCAGCCCAGCGCCAGAAAGTATAATCCAGAGAGATACACAGGAACA